GCAAGCTACAATGTATTCATTATCTCATTAAATTCAATGCGAAATTTAGAAAAACGTCCAATGTGAGCATGCAGGGATATTTTCGACTTAATTTTTGCATCGAGAGGATGACAACATTCATTAGGGATAAATATAATTACATAAGGAATGATTAGGAATCATAACTAACCAGGAAGCGACTACTAACCATAGCATTAATGTGATGATAGCTATAGACATAATTAAAATATGTTACAATACACAAATTATCAAATATTTATACGTGATATATATTTTATACAATATTTGATATAAATATTTATATCAAATATTATAACTTCAATAGGAAATTAAAATTAATATAATAGTTAATTATAACTAAAATAAGTTATATATTGAAATGAAGAGCACGTTCAAGGCCGGTCGCTGGTCTGCCGCGGAGCCTCAGCGTGTTTACACGCGGGCAGAAATAGAGGCTGGTGCACGACACTGACGTCAGCTCCCCCCACACACCGCCACGACGGCAGACGTCAGCTCCCCCACACACCCGCCCCGATGGTAGACGTTAGCTCCCCCACACACCCGCCCCGACGGTAGACGTCAGCTCCCCCACACTGGATGAACTTGTTCATGTAACTATCTTGCCAAAAAATTTCATCCCATTTTATTGAAAATTTTGTATATAACTAACAAGTTCCATTAAATTGTCACTTCCAAATTGTCAATTCCAAATTTTGTCACTTATTTGAAAAGATGTATGTAATTTGAGAGGATTTCTAAATGAATTAATTTATTACTGCATCATTCCGGCTATAAATTTAGAAAGAAAGAACAGGCGGCGGTAATAGTCGTCGGAAAAAACGAGGCTTGATGGCTTGAATCCAACGAAGGCTGGGCCATAAATTAACCAGCGCCGGACAGAATCCCATTAAAGTGGCGCTGCTGCATCATGTCTGCTTACGTCAACTCGTCCATCACCACTGATGCAGTCACCACTGATCACCATCAGCACTGCAGTCACCGCTGATCACCATCAGTACAGTCAGTACTGCAGTCACCACTGATCACCATCAGTACTGCAGTCACCACTGATCACCAGCAGCACTGCAGTCACCACTGATCACCATCAGCACTGCAGTCACCACTGATCACCACAGTACTGCAGTCACCACTGATCACCAGCAGCACTGCAGTCACCACTGATCACCATCAGTTCTGCAGTCACCACTGATCACCATCACCACTGCAGTCACCACTAATAAGTAAAGATGAGGGGTTCACTTAGGTTCATTAAGCTCCGCCGCATTCCCTTGTCCTCTTTAAGGCAAGGGAAGTGCTACGCAATATCCTATGACCTCAGTACATTATCATTTATAAATGAATAGATGAGGCTCTGTCAATTGTTGCAGTTACTGCAGCTATTTTTACTTAGATAGTATTTTTGTGGGATCAATTTGCGTTCAAATTCTTCCTATCGTTATCAGAGCACAGACTAAATCATCAAAAGCATACCATAATAATTGATAACGTTTTTAACTGCATTGATTCCATGAATGTACATTTAACAATCGAGGTATTTCCTTCATATAAATTACGGTACGACCCATGAATAAGCTCAACGGAAATGAAGTTCTTGTTCTACGCAGTAAAAGTAAGTGAGTCAGCTTCAATTCAAACGAAATTCTTCAATTATTTTCATCATAATTTATTTCAGGGACGCAACTGAGCATCGTGCGTCTGACCGAGAGGACGCTGTGCCACGATTGTCTTATCTACGCAATCGAAGCCCATTAGGAAGAAATAAAATAAATGAGTAAACAATAAAAAATATATGTATAATTTCTATAAAAACAGAATTTAAAAACGACAATTAATTTCGTACGATTTTTGCTCAGGAAAATGATGGCACGGATGATGCAAGCAAGTAAATAGGCGAATTATTCAATCTTTTTTTTTTTTTGGCGAATAAAAAACAAAATTCGAATTTAATTTTCGTATGAGAGCAAAATATTAGCAGACGCACAGCATTTGAATTTAGATAATAAAGTATTCATACCTATATAATAATCAATTAATTTATGAAATTTCGGGAAATTGCAAGATTCTGGACGAAGTTTACGCTCTCGTAAATTCATCAGCGAATTACAATCGTTTTTCTAACAATCTTTGGTAGCTACAGGCCGCCAATCACCATCAACGATTCATGTAGATCGTAGAACGCCTCGTTATTAACAGCGAGTAATGTAGCTCAAGGTCCAGCATCGATCAATTCAAGCGATTCGTATCGCCTTCTGGACGCTGCAGCTCAAGCTGAAAACTTGAGGCGAATTAGCGTCGGCCATCCAAACAACGTCTGAGATTTATTATAGTAATCTAGGAGATTGATTTAACAATTGCCTGGCATGATTCTGCTCTTACCGGTTCAAACAGGCTTGTGTATGAGGTTGAAAAGCCAGTTATTATACATAGGTTTGAAGTATCCCCTTTTTAAATTAAGTACCATTCCCGATGTAAATATTGATTTTCGTCTATTCATGATAGCGTAGAAGCCTTAACCATAAACACGATACGAGATATGCGTGTCACACAGTACAAGTAACAAAAGTAGCTTAGTAGCGTGTCGTTTTTTAGAAGACAGGAAAAATAAGTCAGAGTACATTTAATTTAAACTCAAAGTTCAGCACAGGGCTTAGTTGAAATACGACCTATGTCTCCTGGTGTTCAAAGATCTGGTAAATTCTTCAGCAAACAAAATCAAAGAAAATTTTAGAAATTAATATTTTCGAGTTTTTACTCGCGGTCACGTGACGACACCACGCATCAGGTCACCAGGCTTTCAATATAGTCGCCCGCGGATAACAGACTATCTCCCAGTCACCGTCTCAGCTAGGCCCACACAGCCATTGCAATTTTGCAAATATAGTGCATAAAATGTCCAAGCATGACACCGAGCCGAGTTTAAATGTCTCAAAATATAGTATATTTAACAATTGTATAATTGTATTGTAAAATATAGTATATTTTGATATATATATAAATATATATATTATATCTTCCTTCAATTGCGCGTGTTGAGACTCGAGTTTACTTTTTCATGTTTTAGTGTTAATAGGTAGTGTAGTGGGTCTAATTTACCCACTTCATCTGAGGCTCGATTGAAGTCACTCCTAATCCTCCCAAGGGTCCATAAACTAAAAAATAAAGACGACGATAAATACATAGACCAATCGAATGCAACTTAACCAACGAAAACTCGCATTAATTAAAGAGCTGGGCTCACCTCAGAACTTATATACGACGATCATCAATTTCAATGAATCGTTTAGCAACAATAAACGATGTTAACTTAATCATTACTATGACAGATTCATTCACTCATTGAGATGCAGTAACGAGAAAAATATGTGCATATTGATTTAAGGTATATGTTGATAACATTTCAAAAACATTTGACTGTACCATTAATGAAGAAAGGAAATAATAGAAGATGAAAAATTTTTTTATTTATGAATCAATAAAACGAAACTAAGGTAACTTTTAGTAGCAGCAGGCTTCACATTCTGCAATAAATGAATAAATGAAATAAGTAAGACAAGGTCGCAGCCAAGTAACGGTAGACATGGCAGCCGCGACTGCAGAAGTTGCGGTCTAGAGCGACGATAGCAACTCAGCCAAGCGAGCGAGGGGTAGGTCTTGGCTACCGCCCAGCTCGCGTACGGCGGAAGTGAGTCTATACTAATCACTTTAAAAACGGATTATAGTTTTAATTCAACTAATAAAAAAATAATTTGTTTATTATTATATACTTTATGAACGAGCTACTACTTGTGGGAGGTAAGTCACCTTGAGAGTTCCTCTTTCAAGTCATAGTCCTCTTGAGGATGAAGCTGATCAATTTAGGATTCATCGAATACCGTTACCGGAATCAAGAGGAAAAATCTACATGTATTTCAAAACTTGAATTTGTAACTTGAATTTTTAATCAGCTAAGCGATTAAGGGGGAGCAGACTTGAAACATCAAAATTAGATGTTCAATTATTATATATGAAAGTGCTACATTATACTTTCGATGTCATCATCAAAACTGCTGCAGAAACTAGGATGGATATATATAGAAACGAGAAATAATTCAAGCATTTTAATTCCCATCATATTTTGGCCTTAGCAATTCCTAAGAGTCCTAACATTCTGATTTTGGCTATAACCCTAGCCCTAATCGTCACAAGTTAAGTTTTAAAAATAGTGCCGAGTAAGGGTTGCCCTAATCTTCCCGAGTAAGGGTCAGTTCAGGAAAAGCTCCAACGTGTTACCTTTCTTATCAAAACTATTAACGCTAACCGCCACAAACTTTTCTAGGAAGTGCCGTCGTGAGGGCAAACGAAGCAATATTATATTGTGTGGTTTGTTTTAACGGTATGAAATATTCAGACTGAAACTCATCTCATCACCTTATATAACTCACGCGAGTGATGTCTTGTGAACGATTAGATAAGCAAGGTCAAGGTCAACAAGGCAAGCCTATTATTAGTCTAAATTATCTACTGTGCGGCAACATCGCAAGGCAGCTTGTGAAGAGAAAGTCATCTTCATTGAATCAAGAGTTCATATGAACGCTATTATCATGACTCCATATCAAATGAGTATGAAAAGCAACAAATGTACTTCTCATCGAAAATTACAGATGATTTATTTAATTCTCGGCTGGGCAAAATTTATTTGAAGAATAAGTGTTATGTTTGCTAGTCGTGTGACTTCAAAGTCCCAGCTAAGGAGGAAGATGGGCAGAGACGAGACTAGAGGTTTGGGGAACTGTATTTGGTAGAATCTGGTATACAACTGAAGGATACAGGCATGCTGGCCTTACAGGACATACTATTGACAATATAGTAGTTCTACTTGAATTTGACCCAATTAGTAAACGCGTACCATACGACATAACGGAGATCTCGAGGAACGTTTGCGGCCGGATACTGTGATGCGACGAAATTCAAATTTCTAAGGTCATTTCAAAAATTCTATATCCAATTGTAGCATATATTTACTACTGAACATTCACCAACATTTTCAATAATGCATAAATCGCAGTTTAATTCATTATGCAATGTAACTTAGCTCAGACCATTAAATATCACGTAAATTCAACATGCATGTGCAAAGAAAAATGCTTCCCCTTCAATCTATTTTAATATCAAGTTACAATCGCTGATTATAGACTCGGTGGCCCAGGCATTCGCGTGAGCGAGAGTATAGCATTCTGTAGTAGGAAAAGCAAGATCGTAGCCCAACGTACGATTTAGTCATCGGAGTCGCTCAATTCATCATCTTGATGTAGTTTAGGCCACGTGAGCGCCAGAAGCATCTGATGGTAGGAATAAGTTAAGCCGTAGTCCATGTCGTACCAGTAGTTGACCGCCACACACGCATGGCTCTGTTGCACGTGGTGGAACCAAAGAGAGGGAAGATAGAGCGCGTCGCCGGCATGCACGCGTACGAGGGTAGGAGACACGTTGCTGTACGAGGGGAACTCATCGATGTCTGGATTTAGAGGGTCGATGGCTACCTAAGGTACAGTGCATGCAGGGTCTGAGGGAACGATGTGAAAGTGAGGGCAGCCCTCTACACCCAAGCTGAACGGTGGAGAGTCAGCATCTGGAGACTGCTCTTTAGAACTTTTGCTGTCATTAAAAGTAGCTAAAAGTTTACTTTTAGTTATATCCCTGGAGTGGAAATTTAGATTTGTTTCTTCTTTCGTGCCTGAGCTGGCGAGTTCCTCACTTGTGTTAGTCCCGTTACCATAATCGCCCATACAACGCAAGCATAGGAAGTGCTTGCCGCCAAACCCGTTGGCTTGCTTGTGGATTTTTTCCTGTTGATTTTCAACGGTAGATCTTTGAAGACTGTTTAAACTGGGGAGTGAAATGCTGCTACCATCACCACCATCTTCACTAGTAGACGCCGTTCTTGAGCTACCATCACTGCAGTCATCCCTAGTAGGTGTGGTTGTAGAGCTACCATCACTGTCACCCCTAGCAGGATCGCTGAAGCAGTAGGTGGCGACAGGGTAGCGTCTGTAGGGCACCCAGGGCGCGTCGCAGGGCGGCAGGAGGAGGAAGTCCTTATAGCCGCTCACGACACAATACAGGTTCTCGTACGGGTCCTTGTGCACTGCCAAAATAACAACGTATATATTATACGTTTTTGTTTTTATAGTATTCGCAAAATTAACAAATGTGTATTATTTAAGGATAGTACGCGAACTTGAAATGAGAATGGAATACTCTTAACTCTTCATCGCGACGAAAAATAAATATGAAAATTATTAATACCAAATGAATCAGAAAAAAACCAGCCGCTACAATTAACCCTTTCTCTACTGGAGAACACTCTCTTTATCAAACTCCCAGGTACTACGAATAACATTATTGTAATCCATTTTTGAACAAAAGGTTAAATTGCCTGCCGCAAGAAAGCCAGAACTGACCCCAGGTAAGAATAGCATTAACATAATCCGCCTTTAAACAAATATTTAAATTGCCTGCCACAAGAAGGCCAGAACTGACCCCAGGTACGAATAGCATTAACATATCCCCATTTGAACAAATATTTGAATCGCCTGCCACAAGAAGGCCAGAACTGACCCCAGGTACGAATAGCATTAACATATCCCCATTTGAACAAATATTTGAATCGCCTGCCGCAAGAAGGCCAGAACTGACCCCAGGTACGAATAGCATTAACGTATCCCCCTTTAAAAGAAAGATTTAAATCGCCTGCCGCAACAAAGCCAGAACTGACTGGATGTGACTGCACGGGCGTCGCCCATCCAGAAATTGACGGCGTCGGGGCGCCTGCCGAGCGTCTCTGAGAACCACGAGGCCTCGCGTCCTCCTGACGAGGCTTCCAGGTCACCGAGGAGGCCGCTGAACTCCTCGGTCAGGTTGCTGTTCTGCTTCTGCACATACCACACCTGCGCAGCGTGGGTCAGGGGAGACGTTAGAAGAGTCATTGATGCATATAGGAAGGCCAAATGAATAGGCCAAGTGAAAATAAAGGCAGAAATAGAAAATCAAAATAAAATAGAGAATCAAAGTAAAATAGAAAATCAAGGAGAAATAGAAACTAGAGATAAGTAGAAAATTAATGTATAGTGGAAAATTATAGATAAATAGAAAATCAAAGTTAAATAGAATATCAAAGTAAAATATAAAATTAAATTAAAATAGATAATCAATATAAAATAGAAAATCATAGTAAAATGAGAACCCAAATTAAAACATTTGCTATTCTGCTTCGGCCCTCACCACACGCGCGGAAAAATAGTTCATGGTGAGGCAGCAAAATCGAAAGGAGAAAGTAATACGAAAACGAAAATTGAACATGGCGTTTCTGCTTCTGTTCAAGCCGAACCCTAGATAACTAGGATCATGGGAGTGGTTTTGAAGGCCAACATTGATATCAAACAATCAACATCTCATGTCAGCACAAGGAACAGGTCCACTTTTAGGCGAGGTTTTAGGTTGTTTTTATTCTGTATCAATCACACCTTCGCCCTTGAAAACAGCGTTAATTTGAAATAAGGCTAGAAGGTGCAAATATATTAGAGAAAAAAATATTCAGTTTAATAATACTGCAGGTAAGACGAGACATAGTACTAAGGGTGACAGTGTATTTGTGAACATACCACACTAGTGGCAGGAAGATAATGCTTACCGTACATGAGATTGTAAGCTTCAAAGTATGAAGCTCATAAGAACATGACAGATGCTATTCAATTTACATTTTCTCATTAGGTTTTCATGTTTTATATTACCTTTTCAGTTCTAATTAACCTTTTCCAACCTCGAAGTTTAATTATAGCCTCTACAGTTACAATTATTTTCTAGAAGGTTACCTATAACCAAATATTCTGATCATATTTAATTTTATACAATTTCTATCGTTCTCCCTCAATTATTCTCTTTTCTCCTTCAAGTTGTGTTAAAATATTCTATTATCACATTATTGTCGTGGAAGCTACTTTATTAGGAATTACATTAATTTATATTATTATATATAATTATTATTATAGTTCACATTCATTATTATACTTCACACTTATCATTATACTACACATTTATCATTATACTACAAATTTATTATTATACTTCACGTTCATCATCATACTACACATTTATCATTATACTTCACGGTCAGCATCTTACTAGAAATTTATCATTATACTTTACGATCATCATCATACAACACAGAAATTATTATACTTCACGATCATCAACTTACTATACATTTATCATTATACTACATATTTATTAATAGACTTCACGTTCATCATTATACTACACATTACCTATTCATTATACTTCACGATCATCATTATACTACACAGTAATTATTATTATAGACATTTGTGTGCGGGCAGGCAAGACCCACGCCATGCTGCGTCTGGGGGCGCTCCATGACGTCAAGGAAGGCAGCGAAGGGCACGACGCGCTCCTGGGGCAGCACCAGGTGCCCGGCGCTGGGGGCGTCCGCGTACCCGTTGGGCGTCACCGCCACGCTCACGGCCACGTCGCCCACGCGGTCCCTGACAGTGGCGCACCAAATTTACTTAATTCAAATTCCATCAATAGTTCAAGTGACCTTGAACAATCGGAAAAATAAGGATTCATATTGTCTGATTTGCACGATTTCTTGCTCACAGCCGGAGCACAGAGCGGGCGTAGCACTGATACTTACTTTTGCCAGTGAAATTAGGTCAGGATGACACATAAAAGGGCAAAAAGTGCATCGTTATTTGGACAAATGTATCCTATTTCTCTGAGTATATCCCTCATGACAGTAATTCCATAAGTTTAGATTGTTGTTCTCAAGTGACTTCGTATCTTTCATCTAGACTTTGAATTCCATTTGAATTATCTTCTGTTTCAATCAATGAATCATTGTTAATTTTATATTTATTTGCCTTTCAATTCGATACAATTTGATTAGATTTATATTAACATCATCGAGGTACATAACGATGACCTAATCCGTTATCGTGTCAAACATATTTCCTGCGTTCAACATTAGATATGAACGACAATTATTTAGTACGGTTATAATCATAGAGGCACCCACCTTAAATACTGAGGCGTCCACTTACTCACAGCGGGCCAGTGGGCCACGGCCCCCCTCATGAGGAGAGGTTTGTTGGCCCCAACATAGTCCCGGGCCAAGCAAAGTGGGGACGGAACTTCATCAACAACATCCACTTTACTCGACACGTTCAGAGCTGAACAACATATCACCTATTAAAGTTTGAACAACATCCACCGCATATCACCTATTGGAGTTTGAACACCTAACTGTAGAACAGTAGCTCTGACGCTCTGTTGAAAGGAGTTATAGAACCGAATCTTAGAATAAATAACCTGATGTTCATTAAATATCAGTTCCATTCAGGCAATCGACGCACGTAAACAGCGGCACAAGGAAGATATGGCTGTGATTCATCTTCGGGTCAGTGGCTCTAATAACTAGAGTCTTATACTAAGATGACAAGACACATTATGGTAAGAGGTACATACTTCTATGCAAGGTATTTTAGTTATATTAATCACTCTGCATCCATCGCGTATATTAGAACTTCGCGTATAAATGCTCATATTTGATTAAAATATAAGATACTGTGAAATTATCGGTAATAGGTATAATCAATCAATGCAATTGCCTGATGCTCGATAATTTGACTGAGAGTTAGGGTGGGCTAGAATTATTGCTTAATACCACCATAAAATTGCCACTATCTGGTTGCCCAGAAGGACAAGCAGAGAGCGGCCCATACCTCGACACTCCCGCGACAGCTTCATGCAAGCCTTGTGAGCAACACTGCCCCTCTCAGGCGCCGGGTTCAGTAGCTCGTCCCCTGGACATATTTAAGCAAAATAGAATACAATGGATACCTCGCAACAGGTCTTAGCTGGGACAATTGTGGCGGCCACAGAATGCATGTAGTGGCGGCCACAGAATGCGTGTAGTGGCGGCCACAGAATGCGAGTAGCGGCAGCCACAGAATGGGGGTAGTGTTCGCCACAACATGGTCAAACTGTTAGCTACCGCAATAATGTAATTTCTTTAGTCAGGGGTAAGAAGCTGTGTTCACTGCTCTTACTATCCCAGGAAGCAGACTTGACTCAAAATATTAAGATATACACAATATTCTAGACGAGTCAAAACCCATTATCAGTATGTTATTGCAACCAAATTTTCACTTATAACCATGACATGTTGGTTTTCTCATGAAGCTGAGATAAGGAACAGATAGCGCATCGCATCTTTGTCAGAGGTCATATAGAAATAGATGCCTGCCAGCACTGTCGAAATTCCGGTACATCATTTAATGATCAAGATCAAACTACGCCAGGTAAAAAATTGCACTATACCAAACTGACAGGTTAGTGTTCGCCTGAAGTTGAGAGCTACTTTGCAGGAATGCGCTAATGCAGAATGCGCTCAATATTTCTTTGCATCGCTTGCTCTAGGCAGTTCGTTAATATTAAAACACATCATTCATCAGTTACTATAAAAGTACTATAAGACTACTATGAAACAAATAAATGTATTTATCTAATTGTTCAAACCCTCAATCAAATAATAAAAATATCCATCAAGCATCTGCATCCAAATCAATTAGCTAATCTAAACAAGAGGAATGCAGGATTTCTCACCCAGTTTGCTCGTCGTTGGAGGACAGTAGCGTCGGTGACGAAGAGTTACATTTTCCGACATTTTCGTGCAGAGCAAAATCTCCTTGGAAGTGGGAATTATTTTTACTAATTGGTCACTAGTTTGACATCTGCTGCAAATGTAAGAGTTTGCATTATACTTAATCTTTGATCAGATTTTGATGGGGATTTTCAGAATGGTAACCCACTAGGTTATTTAATTTAGCCAAGTATTTATTCCAGTGCTCGTGTAGATTCCAACTAAAACTCCTTTAACATTCCTTCAGCAAGAATATCTTAGTAATATCTTTCAGTTAATGCAAGATTAGAGTGCTAGAAAATTACAGCACGATTTAGGGTAATTATATCAGATGAATATTTTGCTTTACTGTGATTTGCTTCCAGCGTGGATCTGGTTTTCGAAAGACCAAACTGCCAAGTATAAAGTCACGCGTCAGTGACGAGGACACAAATGTTTTCTTTTCATTGAAATCTTATGACGTAAATAAAAAACCATTTGAACCACAAATTCAACCACAACCACAAACCATTTGAACCACAAAAAAACTAAAAAAACACAAATTCCCTTATGGAACCAACAGAAGTAATCATTTACTTTTTTGATTTTAGGAATTTGCAAAGGTGTCAGAATCGTACATGTCTACCACTTGGTTTCCTTCGAATTTTCATACCTGTTCCAGCACGTGGACTACAAATACTTTGATGACGCCATACAACTCCTCACCTTTGTGAGGATTAAATCACCTAAATTCAGTAGACAATCAAACAGCACATATTTTATGATGTGTACAATACAATAACAATGCTTCTATGCTCTAATATCTCAAGTGAGTGATGTGACAAACTTCAGCTGAGACAGCCCAGGGAGCGCTGATTCCCTTAGACGCTGCCGTGAGCAGCGCCGTCTCGGGGATTTATTAAGAAACTGAATTGCTTTCGTCAATGGAATGTAAACCATTATTACATGCGGCACTAGTCTTCAACTGAATTTCAGTTAGGTCAACAATAACGTAGCCGCTATTTTGATAAACTTAAGTCCAATGTCGTCAAAAATTCTAGTCTGCTACGTTAATCTTGACAATTACGCCCCGTTTAAAATATGCACAAATCAATTAATGTGTAACTGCACGTCAAATGCTCCATCGTATTTCACGCACTCATTAGCAGTACTAATGAGTGTAATGATAATGTGCGAGTGCGTACACCTTGGCATTATTTCACCCACTCACACATTAGCAGTACACCGTACTCATTAGCAGTGCACCGTACTCATTAGCAGTGCACCGTACTCATTAGCAGTACACCGTACTCATTAGCAGTGCACCATACTCATTAGCAGTACACCGTACTCATTAGCAGTACACCGTACTCATTAGCAGTATATCGTACTCATTAGCCGTACTTGCAGTGCTGGAGCAGAAATGGTCCTCCAGAGCACATCATAACCAGATGCTTTGATCACTATTGACTGACTGGAGTTTACTTTTCACCTACATTCACCAAGATGAGCCTTGCTACTACAATGGATCCTAAATAAAATATCCTGATGGGCACGTAAGTTTATATTTCTTCCATAAATATCTACAATGTACACTGCTCGTCGATTTCAGTACATAGATACCATACAAAGGATTAACACGTTGAAAATAATATTTCAACAGTCAAATGTGATAAATTAGATTGTTTCCTTACATTGAATTACAAATTTTTAGAGGAGAAATAAAAATGAATAGGGTACGATTAAAAACAATACATATTAAAGTTACACTGCAATATGAAAATAGTCCCATTACTGACACTAGGAATTTTTTTATAGCAAGTAATACCAATAATGTCTTCAACAAATGAGGCATATTTCCACCCCTGGAATAAAAGTTTTATTTACGAGTGACATAAAAGCTAGAAACAGCGAGTTCTAGATATTAAGCTGCTTCTAAAAAAGTAGATTCAACTTTTCATACATGTCGTCAGCAAGGCATTGACATGCATGAACAGTTATGAACAAATGACTTTGATGCTAATTATTTCATGTGTAATTTTCAACGAGGCACTGCTGCCACAACATTGGGTTACTCCATCATAAAAACACAGTACCTATATTCACTTGTCATCCTTGAGTAAATTTTTGGGTTGCTGTCCAGGGTTGCTCTCATACTCTTCATAGACCGGATAGTTGAGGCCCAGGTGCTGTGCACAAACAAGAGCATTAATACATTACATGTAGATATTTAAACCACGCATATTGTGGCTTGTGCAAAAGTTTTTTTTAACAAATCGTTGTTTTCCTACCTTCTTATGCACCTGTTGACTGATGTTATTGATATTTACAAGAAATATCAATTAAAGGCAGGCAGCTAACATTACTAAATAAGCTCCGAAACACATCCAAGTTTAAAGTCCAATAATTAAGTGAGCAGTAAAACAAAAACTGTGTCTGCAGATTTATGTATGTTAAAAATGAGTCATATAGCAGACAAACATTGACTGATTGAATATAATTCCACTCTTAACAAATTAACTAAAAATTTAGCCTGAATAAAAACTCAAACCTTTGGTGCTTCACTGGTTGGGGGAAGGCCTCGCCTGATGGCATCAGCATCTGCATTTTTCTTCTTCATGAGAGCAATCTGCAAATTGCGCTTAATTTCTTCTTCTGTGGGAGGCACGCGCCTCCGATGCCGCAGCCAAGCTGCAAACAAATTCTTACTTGTGTAAAAATATTTAGAAATGTATATCAACATTGAAGATTTTTAAAATTCATGATACATTCACATTATGAAACTAATCATAACCTAACAAGGCATAAATTACTTGAGAATGGTTATGCCGATCCAGTGTAATTTATACAAATTGGTAGAGGACATCATTGAGCCATCTAGGATTAATACATAGATTTATTTCATACAGGATAAATAAATACAAAACAAAACATTTATATAAGCTGTGGAGAAATAAGTAGTGCTTTTTAGACTAATATATATATATTGTATGCAATGATACAATAATTTGTTGAGAGAACCAGATTTCCTTTGGTTCTCTTCTCCTATCATACATATCTACTTAAACTGACTAAGCTCAATAAATCATAGGTATATTTTTCAATTTATAATATTCTTTTAAGCCTCATAATATTCAAGGTAGAAAATTAAAATTTGTATACATAGGGTCACTGAATAAATGCATAACAGCATAATAACCTGGTAACTTCAACTTATCAGTGAACTTAAACAATAAAAGCATTTTACTTTTTATTACTTACAGTCCCATTCAGTGGGAAGATTTTCCTTTTGGTAATTGCTACGATCAAGAACTTCAAAGTAGCGAGTAGGTAGAGAGCGGCCACGTTCTGGATCTGTGAAAAAAAATTATTTAATGCTATGATCCAAGTCTATTTCAACTGTGCAACCAGATAATAGCCGTTAATATAATTTTTTTATTGTTTCATGGGCAATTTATGATGAGAACTTGGAATTTTATGAAAATTTTAAGAGCATCAATAAAGTTTATCACATGATGATGTAAAGAACAAGGTCAAAATGACAATGCAACTGATTTAGTTAAGGATATAATATTAAATATATTTCAATATCTAATATTTTTACTACTAACTTGTGCAGTGTTTTAAAAAGTTAGAGGTTATAAAAATTATCTCAATCCATGATGGATAAGTAAAATTATTTACAACTTTATTTCAATAGGAAAATATAAAAGAAAATATTTAGTACATGGAAATTGTTGGCAGGGCTTCTGCCACGGGGCATGGGCTACCATTTTCACTAACTGTGCTACTAAACAACAGAAGCAGAAATGGAAATTTTCTTGTAACGTATCTATATAAGAAATCTTGCATGGCCAAAAATAATGGGAAATGGGAATTTGGGAAACGGTGGAAACCTATATGGAAAATTGGCAGTAGCCATGCCACAGTCCCATTAATTGGACAAAAACGCCCATGGACCAAGCCAATTTCCCCCATTTATCCCCCTATGGCATTTTACCAATTTTCTAAGTAAAAAATCACAAAAATGGCCTATGTTCCCTGCAATTTTTGAAAATTGCCTGTGAAATGGTGTTTTTATTTACCCACAATTTTAGGAAACTTTTGCTGGATATTATTCTAATTTGATTTCCCACCATTTTCAGAGCTGCAAGAATCTTATTTAGCTATTCCTACTACAGTTGAATTACTGTCAACCAGGGCTACTGGGGACAGATTTGATTGTTTTTTTGTTAATAACTGTTAATAACTTCTTAAGATGAAACATTTCATAAACAAATTTAAGCTCATTTTATAGCTCTTTGCCAGGGCTATCGGCAAAATAAAGATTGTCCGGAATAGCCCCATCGGTCGGGGCTACTCAGGACAATGGGAATAAAACTTTATTTCAAAACATTAGAAGCATGCAGAGCATACTCATCCATTACTAACAGTACTCTGAAGTCCTCCTCTTTCATTGTAGAGGATGTAGAGGTAGAATAAATGACATTTTCGGTGATTTTTACTTGTTTTTCCTATATTGATATGATATTACCATAAACATTAATTATCATCAACTGGGGTGACTTTGGCCTCCTTTTTTATTCATGCTGGGGTTGTAAACGCGGGGTCATAAACGCCGGGGTCATAAATGCCAGGGTTGTAAACCAGGTCATAAACGCTGGAGTGACTTTGGCCATTGTTTATGACCGTTTATGACCCTGCTTTGGCCATCATTATGAAGGGGGCAGAATCCCCCAGTTGATGGTACCCTATTATTGATGGGATATTACTGTATTATTGATGTGATATTACTGTATCCATGAACATGCCATTGAGCATTTACAACAACCTTGTTCACTGCAAGCTTCATATCAGCAGCCTTATAGCATTTTTTTCTGTATCTGTAAGCATACAGGACGGCTTGTAATTTGTGTGACGATAAGTGAACTTTTTTTTGCTCAGCGAGGTAAATGTAATCAATATTCTTTGTTTTTAATCAATTTGTTCTTAACTGAAGCCTTTGCTAACTGAGGTTCTACCGTAAATGCGTTTTTGGGGGTGTCCCTAATAGCCCCGGGGGGGTGTCCCGAGTAGCCCCGCCATGCGGAAATGGCTGCCATTTCTTTTTAGAATGAGATAGGCACATTCTGTCAATTACGTTTTCAAGCCAACACCTGGGTGCAACTTTTATGTAAGTAAAATTTTTTAATACTGCGAATATTTTTTTTGCTACATACCTTAGCATTTGTAACTTTACAAAATATAGTTTTTCACCATTTTTTTCAGGAATTTTTCAAAGCAAGTATATGTAGTATTTTTTGACTTCCTTTATGGATTATACTACATAGATAGGAAAAATGTTGACGTTTACGCCACTATTTTTAGTTTTGCAATATTCCAATTAGTTTCGCTACTACAACAGTTTTACGACGTGTCAGAGGCCTGTCCCGAGTAGCCCCGCTCGCGCTCATAGTGACAAAGCAGAGAGTTTTTTAGACTCTCCCTCAAGTTCATTTTTGAGTCCTATAAGTAGACAAGTAAAGCATAGTGGCAAAGCAGAGAGTTTTTTAGACTCTCCCTCAAGTTCATTTTTGAGTCCCATAAGTAGACCAGTAAAGTATCCTGGATACCAGCCAGGCCCCCGCTTGTCCCGAGTAGCCCCGGTTGACGGTATATCTTAATCTTATCCTATCTAATTTCTAATTAATATTTAAACTGCAGTGCTGCACAATCAGGGCTTTATCAGGCCATCAGATTGAAAAAAAATGTCAGTTTGGAGCTGCAAGATTAAAGATTTCATTCATGAGTTTGAAAATTTTGCTGTAGCCTAGGCTGCGACAGTCGCTGCGTAGCCTACCTATATTGTAATATTGTAAAATGTAAAGTAGATTTACTTATTTTATGTAAATGCCTGAATTGCTTGTGCCCAATTAGTAAATTCACTGTCACATTGTCATGCAGAAATTTTACAGTCAAAACTGAATTACAGACAGAATTTTTAAACATAGCTTGGCACTTAGCACTAGCACTGTAGCAGTAACGCCAAATGGTTGTTACTTACATTACTGACCGCCGAACGGTTGTTACTTACCAGCAGGTTTTTCAAAGTATTTGTTGCCCATGTAATCTTCTCCTATGTATTTACCCCCACCTTCTGATGAAGCTCTTACGTATCCAAATGACAACGATTTTAGAAAATTTTGGTAAACTTTATACCAAACCCTTCTAGGCGGTGGGACGGGACGTGACATCACTTATGACTTAGGATAAAAAAACTGAGCACTAGGATATTAAATTTTAGGCAGGCAGTAATCAAGCCAATTCCTACAGCTACTAGTCCTTTCTTACTCTCTCTTTTATTATAATTGGTTTTAATTCTCTCAATGTTTTCCTAAATTCCTACTACCTAGTACTAGAATCGCTGTCGCTCATCTAAGTCATCTTACCCACGATCCGCCTTTTAGTAGTGAGGAAATTTAGATTTGAGTCGTGGTGACTCTGAAAGAGGACATTCAAACGACCATCGTTTAGAAGTTATTTCAATCGGTCTGCGGTCACGTAAGTGAACTGTAATAAACAGACAATGCAAAACACAAATCACGTTTATGTATTTGATCCCGCGTATACATTTATACGCCACAGAAGAAATGAAAATAACAAAATTATCACGAATTAGACATCAACCATAAGTCCTAATGAAAGCCTTTGCAAAGTTTCAAATTCATTGAGGTGCGTTCATTAGTTTGAGAGACCGAATCGACACTTTAGCGAACTCGAGCGCGAACTCAAGCGCGAGCTCAAGAGGCAAACCTAACTTTCAAATTTGAAAGAAATCCGTTTGGTATTTATGAATTTATGACTGGGTAAGTTAAAAATGAAGTCATGTTTCCCGTATTAATATAAAAGTATTTGATGTAAAAATCTGAAATAAATCTGTCCGCAAATTACTACTATTATCTGCATATATTTCAAATTTGAAAGAAATCTGTATGGTATTTATGGATTTATGACTGGGTAAGTTGAAGGTGAATTTAGGTTTGCCTCTTGAGCCGCGCTTGAGTTCGCTAGTGTCGATTCGGTATCAGGGAGGCTGTTCCACATGTCGGTGATTCGAATCGAGAAAAAATGTTGTCGCGCGGACAAGTTTCAGCGCAGTTTTTTTAGTTTATAGCCGTGGCCCCTTGTTTTGGTTCTAGTTTGAAATTCTATTAATCCTTCGGGGACCTTGCCTACCTAAACCATGAGTATACTTGTATATTTCAATGAGGTCCCCACGAAGACAGATTATAACCGTTGTTTCACTCCCGAATTTGTATAACTGTATGCATTCATTTAAGCTCAAATTTGAACGATGGAAAATAGCTTTCATGTATAAGTGTATGTGGTATAAGTGTACATTAAATTTAAGTAAACCTTAGAGTATCTATAGAAATACTTGCAGCTTTGGAGTATCTATACAAATACTTGAAGCATTCTAGGAGTGCTGAGATTCCTGTCCAGACGGGAGGCGAGTGGTGAGGAACCAAGTCCTCAGAAAGCAGATAGAAGAAGAAGAGTGCTGAGATTCGAGCGGTGAGATACGGGTTGATCCCAGTCTTCTGTAACAGTTCCTGGTTATAATGGACCAGATGGCCGAGTTGTTGAAAACATTAGAAAAGTCGTCTTGAACAGTAAGTTGCTTAATCGAAACTCCAGCAAGCTGTACGAATTCTGTTTTGTCTTACCTTGGCAATAGGCAATATATGGTGATTTTAGTTAATTTAGCGCTAAGGCTAAGACCTCTCTTAATTATTAATATGGGGGTAAGGTATTCGCTACTGTGTAAGTTTCTTATTTTTCGCAGACGATAAACGAATATGATGATAACCTTCATCACTCACCTGTTTCATGGGAGGAAGTTGTGATGAGCAGGAATTCGAACGTTACTCTTTTTAAATTTTACATTTTTGAAGTTGTGTTTCTACACATAAAAACTAATTAATTTCACCTATTAATGTAATGGTAATTTTTTCACCACTGTAATAGTACTTATCTATGAAAAGCCTAATAATTTCGGACTAGATTTTTTATGTGAAATACTACCGGTCGCGAAAACACACAATAACTGAACGTCGTTGCCATGACAATCCAGCCTTCGGCGTTGTCATGACTACGACCGACGCTCCTTGCCACGATAAACAAGAAAGATTTCTCGTATCTATAGCAACAAACGAACCTCATCACCATAGCAACGACTCCTCTACGACACTTTTGTTGATGGTCTTGTCAGCTTCTGACTATAAGTGAAGACGTGTCAGCGATCAGTGACCAAACGTATTTTCCTATTGTTTCTATTACGTCAGTGAATTAGATTTCAATAGATGGACATAAATACATTACACATCACTACTTTTCAATGCTGTATTTTCAAGCATGAAAAGTAAAAGTTATTATATCAAAATATTATAAATATTTTCAATTTTTTCCGAACGAATGGCCTTATTTAGTAGAATCAATTTTTTTTAATTTAGCATTTAGTTGCACACTTCTTGGTTTGGCACTCGAGTATCACCTTTGATGTATTGATTTATAAAAAGTTTACCTGAATGCGTTGAAAAAATCGTAGATAATTTTCGCATTTAAGTACAATTGGTAGAATGACACTAACATCCCAATAAGTGAACATGAACTGTGCTCTTTTTTTTTAAGGAAATCGAGAACCTAGAATCGATAATATGCTTCTTCTTACGTTTAATTCAGGTTCTTGGACTCAAATTTCTAAAATAATTCGAGCGCGTATCTTCGCTAGAACTTGACTTTGTTTTTGTACGGGGGCTGTGATGGCAGTGCACAGGTCCGGAGGCCAACTTTGCCCAACTTCGCACTTGGTTCATATTCTTTTGCGAGGGTGATCAGGCTAGAGGGCATAGCAGCCTATATGAACTCAACTGCTTAAAACCACTGCGCCGGATGTCCACAGCCACCGCTTACTCATGCTAAAGGTTATCATGACCATACTGCATCTGGCCAAGCCTCTTCTGGCCTAACCTACACAAGTCGTAAAATTCCTCCAATTAAAACAAACATGAGCGGACCTAACCTAACCTCATTGGCTGCAGGAAGTTAGAAAAACGGTTCAGCTGTGCTGGTAGAGCCAGTCATTGGCTGCAAGAAGGTTGTGTGCCGGAACAGCTTTAATTAATTAATTAATTAATAGGATAGGCCATAAGAGGTTAGGACCGGTCCAACACTTCAGCGAACTCGCGTGCGAACTGGCCTGCGAACTAACAGTTAGATACGGAATAGCTTATGAGCGAGTATGCTAAGTATTGGGTCAGGGTCTACGACGTTATTATCGTTGAGTAATTTGTCACTGTTCTCTGGATTGCGGTGTTCCAGCGTATTCTGCGGATTCTAGTTCTGTGCCTAAATAAAGTCATTTCACGAAGAGGCTGTTGAGCTCATTTACGAGCCGGACATGTTTTCGATTCCGGTAGAACGTCGTACGTTATCAAATGAGAGTGCATAAACAAGTGAACTCGCATACGTAAGCAAATTTTTTACAAATTGAACTATAACCGTCATTACATTGTTTCTTGATATTTGTAAATTCTTGCCCTGGTGAGCATGCTTTTAATGGCGATCTACTTCTGTGAACCGGTTCCTGAATTATTATGTTCCTCCTATTATTTCCCGGCCGTGATGCGTTCTTGATTCGTTTTACTTAAAAAAATTTTTATTCCCAAAAAGTAACACTTTGAAATCTAAAAATCGTAAAAATCAGTATAGTAAAAATATTTTTGATGTCGTATCTCTTCAGATGAACACCGTGCTGGAACTCCTCCCTCTCCTCAAATGTGGCATTCTCAACATAACCGCTGGCGATGTCTTAAGCCCACACCAGGAGTCGCTGGTGCGAAACTTTTTATCAGGCGGGGCGCGTGCATCGCTGCTGTGTTGCTATGGGGTGCACGTCGCTCAGGGGGTCGGGGCAAGACTGGCTCTCTGCAACACAATACCAAGGAACGCCGTCACCAAGGTGCTCTTCTTCCTCAGAACCTCAAGTGACGTCATCAGTGAAGAGAACTTCAGGAGAAAAATATGGCAAGTGTTTAATGTTTTTTTTTCGAAACAACAAATTTTAAGCATCATTTAAAGTACTTACCTACGTAGTAATGTGTAATAATTCGATTCTTCCTTCAAAAATCAAGAAACCCGTTATTTATTTGTCAAATTTCATGAGTCGTATAATGGAGACTAAATATATGTTTGGACGTAATTATTTACATGGTTGATACAGTTACGGCTTGATGTCGTGTGACGACCTGAACTGCGTGCTGAACTTTGTTCTGCAACTGTACCGGCCCAGCGTTCTGCTGCCGAGGTGAGACACAAAGCTAGTTATATTTTTGGCCTCCAACATTAATTTGCTACTACAAAATGGTATGCATCATCATTCTACTCATGTAGACGCTTTCCAATACTTCTTGCATAGAATTTGCCCTCAACAATTATTTTTATTACTGTCCTACCACTGGTGAGCGTGTTTTTGTTATAACATTTAAACATCGGGTTACTTATAGCCACACACGTGGTAAATTTATTTATACAAGAAATTTAAGAGTTTGTGCTACTTTGCCCTCAGATCTCCGACCACCGTGCCACCCCAGACACCTCCAACCACGTTAGAGAGATCGCTACCTTCTTCTCACGAAGAACAAACTCTCAAGCTTATGAGTAGGAAGACTCGTGAGAAGTTAGTTGTGAGCAAGAGCCATGACTTCTACACACGCTACTCACAGTTGGACCAACTGATGGAGCTGTTTTGTGGCCAACTGAGCCAGGTGGCTGGCCGTGCCAACAACCAGGTGGTTCTTAGCGTCCAGCAGCTACGTCCAGAAGACGAGGGACATATAGACGTGTCTGAAGTTGAAGGTTATTTACAGATTCATATATACATTTAAAATTTTAATTTTATATCACAGATATAGCTCATATTACTTATGGTATTAAATTTGTAATATTACTAAAATTACTATTGCTATATAAATAAACATGATATTAATCTTCATTATTGCTTATTACAATGTTGCATATTTTTCATCACTTTAAGTACAACATTCCATAACATTATTTACCTATCTTATCTCCTAAAATAATCTAAATTTTGAATTTATCTGCTAGTCAGATCTAATTTCACGAATACTGAATGTAGTGTTTCGCGATTACTGAATGTAGTGTTGTTATCATCAATATGTAAATCTAAAATTGTCAATAATTGTATCTTAAGTTCTAATCGTAAGACTTTAATACCTCTAATAATTTTCTGAAAATTCCAAGACTCCGCAACACTTTTTTGTTCAGAACTAAATCACATGGATGATAAACCTTTAACATTATTTCCAGATACGAACTTCTGAAAAAAACTTGCGTATCTCATACTATTATTAATTGAGTTTTTAGTAGTTTTTCACGGTTTTCATTTTTAATTGCATTTGAAACCCAATACTCTAAACACCGGAAATTTATTTACAATTTTGACTTTGGACTCAGGCGCGGTGGGTGCGTGGTGCGATCAGCTCACTCAGCTCACTGCCCAGCTAACACAGAGCTGGACGCCCCTCAGTCACGGCCTCTTGGGGTATATTAATCAGCTCACTCTTACAGGTCAGCTCATGTTTACAGGTCAACTCACCATTACAGGTCAGCTCACCCTTACAGGTCAGCTAATGTTTACTGGTCAGCTCACCATTACAGGTCAGCTCACCATTGCAGATCAGCTCACCCTTACAGGTCAGCTCATGTTTACAGGTCAACTCACCATTACAGGTCAGCTCACCATTTCAGGTCAATTCACCCTCACAGGCCAGCTCACCATTTCAGGTCAGCTCACCATTACAGGTCAGCTCACCTCACTCTTATGACCTCGTGATGAGTTTAGGACTTGTCAGTCCACGGTCACGCTTCGTCGTCCTCCGTCTCCGAGTCGTCGCTAGGCAGGTCACCCCGCCCTCGGGTCCCGAATGTAACGTTGGACGTGTTCCGTCTATTTGCTCTCCTTTGGGCCAGCTGATGCACGATGCTGTTGCTCGTCACTTGCTGAGGGTAGTTTCCCATTACTGGACAATCCGGGATCTTCTTCAGAAACTTATCCAGTTGTCTCTTGAAAGTCGCAAGGGTAAACTCCCCTCCTATCAGCACCTTTGGTAATGCGTCAAACAGCCTTGGTCCTAACACGGACAGTAATCCCTCACGAAGAGTCTGTATACTGTGGCCGCGGCTCGGTTATTAAATGGGGGAATCCTGCACAGCCTGCCCCTCCTTTCGTTATAATATGACACTATGCTGGAGGTCTTACATTCAAAGTTGGGAGCTAGTCCGGTTATCATCTTTCAAGTGTACAGTCTAATATACCTCTCTCTTCTCCTCTCCAGTGAGTATAGTCCTAGTGGTTTCAGCCGGCCCCAATAGTTCAGTTCCAGCTCCCTCATGCCGCTTCCTGTACGTGAAGGTCCGCTCTACTGACTCCAGTTTCCCTACCGCCCCCGCCTTGAGCGGCGCCCAAAGCTGGCAGCAGTATTCAAGATTTGGGAACACGAGGGCTCTGAAGATTGTAATCATTGGCGCTGCCTCTCTTGTTCGAAATGTCCGCCACATCCACACCATCCGTTGTCTGCCTCACGCAACTATTTCCTCGACGTGATCATCGAGTACACATCAACACTCCGAGATCTCGAACTAATTGCTTCTCCTCAATTTCTGTGCCATCCGATGCCAAGGAGCGATGTGGCATCCCGGTCTCTGTGCTGACTCTGTATCTCATTTCTTCGAACTTGGTGCCGTTTAATTACATATTGTTCACTAGGGCCCAATCGCAGATTGTCGACAAGTCGTCCTATAACCTATAGCAGTTTAGGCCCTCTGTGATCCTCATCAGCACTCTTGTATCGTCCGCAAATGACTATGTAGATGCGTGGGTAAGCTCCGAATCGAGCCAAACTTCAACCACCTTTATTTCATTATTATTAAAGAAGATATCGATGATATGGTGTTCCCTTGTTGCCAGCCGTATTTGCTGACTGAGAGAGTCAGCAAGTGAGCTGACCTGTGAGCTGACCCTCATAGGTCAGCTCGCTCTCACAGGTCAGCTAACCGCGCTAGAGCACTTAATTACTAATAACTATAACATTAAATGTTTTCTGCAAATTATATGCATGTTTGTTTTAAACATGTTTAAAGTGTTCGAAGTATATTAAAGTAAAGTGTATAAAGTTTCAATAAGTATACAACTTTTATAGTTATTTTAGTTAGCATCCTTAAGAGAGCTTTATGGTTCACATGAACGCGTTAATAATATAATTGCAACCTGCCAATCGAGGCAGGTTGCAATTATCAAACATAAAAATTATCAAATAAAATTATCAAACACCAAAAAATCTGTAATTATGTCAATTAATTATAAAATTTAAAAATACGTTTATTTGTATTACTACATAATAAATTGACATAACTAGGCAAACCCCGTCCAGGTGCCCAGCTCCAGGAGCTGCTGGATCAAGCCGAGTCTGGCAGCGTCCAGCGCGCGTGGATGTTCCTGGACAGCAGATGTTCTCCCGTGGCATTCGCTTTCGCAGCTGCGCGACGACTGCTGCAGGTGCGGTGCTCTTCACGTTCTCGAAACATCATAATATTATATAATATTATTGTATTATTTCAAAATAATATTGTAATTTACAAATTAAAATATTATAAAGTTTCTCCAGCTATCAAATATCGACATCCGTAGGCCGCCATGCAGCATATGTGCTGCAATTTGTCAAAGGGCGGTTTGTCTGCGATGTGAACGCAATATATTCTTAAATACTGGATAGATTTTCTTGTTCAAATTATAATCCTAATATTTAATGATACGCTTGTGCTCACTTCTGCATTGCAGGAACGGCTCTCGTGCGTGCTGCAGGAAGTGCAGCAGCTGCAGCAGCTGTTGCCGCCGCTGCAGCAGCTGTACGACGCTGATCCTGCAGACGTCAGCAGCGTACAGTACGACCTGCTGGCCTGCCTCTGCCTCTTCGGGCAGGCTGCTCAACCTGCAGCCAATGGGTAGATTTCAACTTATTCATTTTCTCTTTATTGCATAGCGATAATTCCCCCCCCCCACCTTCACAAGCATTTACGTCAAATGAACGTTGATTATATGTCGTTCTAAGTAAATTAACGCGTAAGCAACGTTGTTTTAATTTCATAGGCCTGGATAGGCCAGTTCCCAGCAAACATCATACATAATGCGCCTGTGATTAATTCACAAATATGTCCTTGTTTAGAACACACAGATAATTAATTCAGTATAATTTGATGATTATATGGTTCTTCAGATTCATAATTGCAGTTGTCGACTTATTGAAGTGGTATCCAATTAGTCTGAATTATTTCAAACAATTAAGCGAAATGAATTAATAAAAAATGAACAATTCCACTCTTCACTTAAACGCGATTGATTCCGGTCGGTAAGGCGGAATTCTGATTAGCCGAAAATTCCGATTGCATTTGGTATTGACGCTTAAAAATATTGATTATTTTCTACGATATTTTTTTAGTACCTGAGATGATGATAGGAGTTAATGATAGTTGGTTATCTATGGTCAACAGGGAAATGGTTTTGAGATCATTTTGTGTGGGTCGGAAAGCATTTCTGCTGCTGATTTCAAAATTTCATTTTTTTCCTCTAACACGATTATTTTTTTTAATATTCATATTTTGTGTTACATGTATTTGAAAATTATGGAATATATATGCATATATAATTATTTATGATATTATTTGATGATAGAATACGCTGATAATGTATGATGATAGCGGTTATGGCCTCGGTGCAGGGAGCTGTCGCGTCACGTGGTGCGTGCGTCGTGGGACATCGTGCGCGTGTGCATGACACTCCTCGGCGCCGACATTCTCCCGGCCACCGTCGTGAGCTGCATGTGTAGTCTTAACCCTCTACTGCCGTATACACTCTCCGGGAACATACAATTATACGTGAACTATTGAGTGTAGTAACCTGAAGACGTTGGTACGCAGCGGAGAACATTATAATGTTATCGTACTTGGCGGCAACCATCAGTGCAAGTCATTTTGCGCTCACTAGAAAGTGTCCTTTTTGGGAAGTAAGCTTGTGACAATATTGCTCCTGTTACTCATGTCAGGCGGTAGAGGGTTAATTATGCACTTATATGATTAAGCTGGCAAAGTGACATCTAAATAAGATTCAAATAGAGCAATAATTCATGTGTACGTGCTGTCTTATATAGGTAATATAAGGATTATCTTGGAACTAAGTGGCATCTAAAAATTATTCTAATTAAAACATAGTCAGGACGCAAGTAGTGATGATTGTAGCACGCTAAGGCTGCGTGTTGCCTTGAAGAAAAAGTGGCAATTCATTTCTATTGGAAAAAGTCGCATTAAATAATGGTATGCTGACGCGTTGAGGTCGGATTCAATTAGAAGTGGTTTGAAGCTTGGTGGATAATCACGTGTGAATATCACTTGTTTTACATGTTTTGCCTGATTCATTTAAATGAATTTTGAAATGGCATCCTGAGTCAATATAATCCTTACTTGCTCAATGCCTCATTCCACATCAGTCGAAAATTTCCCGAATAATGATAATGTTGATCTTGCTACAAATAACAATCTGACTAGAACGCCGTCAACATTCCTTTGCTTTTTACTTACCATGCCACGTTTTCATGGGACAGGATCAAGACCACCCCGCGGGGGAAGAGACGGCAGCCTCCACCGCCATGATCATCTGTCTCGACTGGATCACTTGCTACACCACAGTTAGTCTTGCCACTGAGGTACCTGTAGCCTGTAGGTACAGCTCCGGTACCTCCTGTGGTTCCTGTAGGTACAGCTTCGGTACTCCCACTGGTACCTGTCCAACTCCGGACAGGTACCAGTGGGAGTAATACCTATCCTCTTAATATACCACATGTCCCACTGCTGTGTACTTGATTACGTACCTCCTCTCCTAAAGTAGTACCATCTACTACACTGCTGTACTATCTGGCTCATTGGGAGGCCACCTGTCCGATTGCAGTACACTTGTTCCGCCAGTGGGGGGGGGGGTAGGTATCTACCTATCCCAATTAGGTACCTTATCCTGTCCCACTGTGGTAACACCTATCCTCTTGCGGTACCACCTATCCTAAATCGGTACCATTATTGCTCCCACTGTGGTCCGGCCGTCTCACTCGTTTCTTGCCCATTGCGGTGTCACCTGCCCCCACAAGAGCACCACAAAGATGGGCTTCTTGTACGGCAATTTTTTTATAGTCTGATAAATATTTTCACTCGGGCCTTCATAAGAGCTTTAAGAGAAAATAAGAGAAAAGCTGATGAAATTTCTTGAGAAAAAAATGGGTGTCAACTTCAACAATGATGCAAAGGTAAAATTGTTATTAGAAAACATTGACAACTGAAAACGATGCAGTCCATTCAAGACGAAACTGTGCTATACTGTTTGACAAATTTCTTCATCTCGACAATAATGAAAAAAATTGATTTTATTAACATTGATTAGCTGTGAGCCGAAATACAACAGTATAACTAGCGACTTAAGTCTACGGGAAAGTAAGCTAACATTTAAGTATCTTTCGTTTTTCGAAAACTTATCGCAGTCACAACTGATTGTTTAACAATAAGATCATTACGAATCATATGGACTGTTAAAGTATCGAAATCGAATTCAGCTATACTGTCCTGATGTTACATTGAAACAAATGATTATTTTTCCCATAAATCTAATTTTGAATATTGTTTTTAGCGCATTTTCTCATTTATGGAAAAAAGGCACTAATGTGCTTGTCATGTTCGTTCGTCGATCTGTCCGTCTGTCCGTGACCACGTTTTCGTCGACAATTAAATGCGCTCTCTGTCACTCACTGCAGTGAGTATGCGTTATATTTTATCATGTTTCGCAGGCATATGAGTATTACGTGCAGCAAAGCGACGCTGGCAGTGCTTGGCTGCCAGCCCCGAGTGAAGGATGTGTGCCGGCCCAGCTGCTAATTAATCGTTGCAAAGACCTGCAATATATCAGCACCAGCATAACACAACTTGCTTGGTAAAGTATATACGATCTAAAGATTGCTTATTTCTACGTCTTATATGTAAATGTTTACTGTAGTACAAGGTAATGGGAAAAGGAACTGTGTTGAGGCTTGACGCAAATTTCGAGGAGTATTTGAACGAGTCACAGTGTTAGGCAGTCTGCTAAATCATCTTAAAAATCTCTGAAATTGGGTATTTGGACGGAAATAATGTTTATAAACAATGTTCTAAATCAACTAGAATATGGTGATGAGAAATATTATAAAGCCCATTACGGAGGTAACTATAATGTAAGTTGATTAGGGTATTTAAGAATTTGTTATCAGCAAATAAACAGCTTCCCTTCATCAGTCCATCATTGAATGGCCACCAATCTGGGAGGACTTTAGAACCTGTCCCGACCCCAGTCCCAACATCGTCAAGTGTGGACTTGAATAAAGCCATACAACAGGGACCAATTCAGGCCACGGCAGGCGCAATACTTCGGTTTACGAACAAACAAGTTCAGGGGGAATTTGAACAAATTAACGAACTTATCGAAGAGGCACGAGTAAACATAGCAGCCAAACTCAAGTTCGCCGTCCAACCTTCGTCACGAGACTGGATCAAGCACTTCGATAAGTAAGGCATATTATTGGCTGGCTCATAGTTCGTAATTATTGAGACAAACTATTGTAAAGCCAGTAAATATTTTTGTCCGTTCCATCCATCACTCTTTTGCAGTGTCCCCATCATTTTTCGAATTCAGTTTCACTCATCATTTGTCATTTATGTTTTTCAGTATCAGCCATTGCTTATCATATCCAGCATCACCCATTACTTATCACATCCAGTTTCACGAATTGTTTTTCAATGACAGTGCGATTCGATGAAGCATGATGCATTTACGAAAACTTTTCTCTCAATTCAACAATTTGAATTTCCGAATTTCCATGGCTTGAAATTTTGATATTGAATCCATTATTGGCATTAAATGTCGATGTTATCATATATTACTATTTTTTTCACGCACTCCTATTTCCTGCGCAATTCTCATTATTATATATAATATGGTTTGAAGTAATTAATCTTATTAATTTATTATCGTTTAATTTATCGTGTTTACGGACTTTGGGTTTAATTAAATTCTTAGAGTGTATGGAATGTATAATTTTTAAATTTTTCGTCAGAATTCAATTCCTCTAATACAAAAGGTGACGTTTGTTCGTGCAGGTTCCGGCAGACAGTGGAGGAGAGCGAGCAGCGCTACCAGAGCGTCCTGGTGGGGAGCCTGAAGGAGGTTCGTGAGGCTACCGAGGGCGTCTTGCTGCTGAAGGAGTGCAAGCCTCTACTCACGAGGCAGGCTCTTGTACCTGTCTTCTGCACCATGATCGAACAGGTAAAAGACTCCGCCGCGATAGTGTGTGATTGTACGCACCGTTGTAATTATGTAAACGGTAACATTCTTTTCAACGTTAGTGTTTGTGAGATTGTTCGTACAGTGTAAAAAGTTCGTACAATGTACATTGTTCGTACAATGTACATTGTTCGTACAATGTACATTGTTCGTACAATGTATATTGTTCGTACAATGTACACTGTTCGTACTGTGTTCATTGTTCGTACTGTGCACATCGTTTGTACAGTTTACATCGTTCGTACAGTATACAAAGTTCTATCCTTGCGGATAGACTATGCACCACAAAGGTGTGTGTTTGTGTGTAAAATTATGGCACTTTACGTGTACAAAACAGAATAACGTACGCCATTATTTCTAGATAATTAGCATAACAATCGAATATTTCAATATGCAAGTTATTGTCGAAGTGATATGAAATTATTTATGGTCATGAGCTGGGAACAATTATTTATTTTATTGAGTGACTGGATTACACCGGATTTGAGTGGCTTGAATATCTCGCTTTCAATACCTGTGATTACTTGAAAAGAATAGCGATTGGCCCACTCGTCTTCTAAAATGTAGATATTACTCTTAAAAATGTTTATAAATTTCCTTTATAAACACTGCATCACAGCTGTGAAAAGTGGTTTGGATAACTGAGCATGGTGCAGCTATGTGGAGTATGATGTAATTCGATGGAGCATGATGGAACATGATGGAGCATGTGTATCATGATGATTGGAGCTGATGAAGCATGATGAAGCATGTGTATCATGATGACTGGAGCTGATGAAGCATGATGGAGCATGTGTATCATGATGACTGGAGCTGATGAAGCATGATGGAGCATGTGTATCATGATGACTGGAGCTGATGAAGCATGATGGAGCATGTGTATCATGATGACTGCAGCTGATGAAGCATGATGGAGCAGGTGCTGGAGATGATGGAGCAGGACCTGGATAGGGTGGAGAGGCAGTACGTGTCCAGGGTGCTGGGGGAACATGGGGACAAGTTCTCCCCCAGCGACCTCGCCCTCTGGTGCGTCAATGCCAAGAGTGAACTGCACGCCAAGCTTCAGGTAATTATATTTACCATATATGTTATTTATATTTATCCTACATATTATATTTACAAAGAATGAACTGCACGCCAAACTTCAGGTAATTATATTTACCATATATGTTATTTATATTTATCCTATATATTATATTTATCAAGAGTGAACTGCACGCCAAGCTTCAGGTAATTATTATTATTTACCTTATATGTTATTTATATTTATCCTATATATTATATTTACAAAGAATGAACTGCACGCCAAACTTCAGGTACCGTAATTCATTAATTAATCTTTGCTATTTTACCCTTAATTACTGTAATTGATTTCAGATGTAATCACTGATGTTTCGTTCAGTTCTTTTGTGTCGTTCTTGCGATTTGCATCAGTCTTTTACTAATCGATCATTCTTATTCATTAATATTCTTTCTCACGCTTTAGATATAATGTACCCACAAGTGAAGTCTTCATGTTCATTTTCAATGTAGTCTGATTATTTTAAATACACGGGAGACAACATTCTTTTGTAGACCTCAAAATGTCGTAATAATTTTACTCAGAACACGCATGGATGTTTTTTTCTAAATTGTTATTAGAGATTACCCAAAAAAATGACTAAATTCTATAGTTTATGACCTCTTCGAAAATGGCGCAGGAGGAATTGGGTCTGCCTCACCTCCAAAACTATTAAAATTCCTTGTTTTGTGAGGATACACTCCTCCATCACGATGGTGTGCGATCGTACGTTCGAATGTTCGAATGACGTACGTCTTTATTCAAGGTGAATTAAAATTCTGCCCCCGCCCCTCCCCGAAGGTGGTGCTGGAGGCAGGGGGTCTGCCTCACAGCCCCCGCGTGGACGCTTGTCAGCGCTGCTGGGCGCGGACGTCAGCGCTGCTCAGCGGCGCCGTCCAGCTGCTGCACGCCGCCTGGACGACGCGCGTCGTCAGCTCAGCGCCCACTGGACGGCTGGACCAGCCCGTCCTGCGCTGGATCACACGCGACAACAAGCACTTCCTTGCGCCCAACTTTGACCCGTAATTTCTTATCAAGCTCGAAATAAAAATCTAAATAAGTCCTCAAGACAAAAAAAAAAAACTCCAAATCTGTCCGAATTATTTATGATATACAACCTAATATATGTAAAGAACGTTCTGTGAATGCTTATAAATCTAGAATTTCCATATTGAGGCCAAAATTTGCTGCAGCATTTAGAACCGAACATGAACGAACAACAATCGTTAATATCACGAAGTGTTCAATAACTATAAACTAATATTGAAACACTTTTGACAACCCTGAAGACCTTTTTATCTGTGCACGCCAGGGACGTGGCGCGATGCCTGCAGGAGGCGCGGGTGTGGCGCAGCCTGGGCCAGCGTCTGCCTGACGCGGTCGCCTGCTTGGACGAGACGGCGCTGCAGCTCGCGCGCAAGCAGGTGAATAAAGGCGGTCTTATTCAGGTGATATATTATTATATTATATTATATTATATTATATTATATTATATTATATTATATTATATTATAATGAAAATACTTTAAAAATTATTTTTGCAATTAATATCTACAATATTTATCTATGCCTTGGAATATCAATTGCATGTACAACAAGTTATTTATGCTCTTTGTCATGGAATATATCGGGGTTTGAAATGTATGAAGAATATCAATATGTGTTTAAAAATTATGATCGTGTTTAACGACATAGTATCTAAAATACTTACATGTAGTTTGAAATATTTTCTTTATTTATCTATTTTATCTGTTTAAATAGAATGTTATATTCGTGTGAATGATGTACCTAAAAGACCTGTATGACCGAGGATAATTTATTTGTGTCAGTAATGTAACCAAAAAACGTACGTGACATAAAAAATTAACACAATTTAATATTTTATTTGGCAGACTTGCGAGGCTCATTGAAGAATTTTGGGGCTAACACAAGTTGATTATTCCAATATATAACTAGTCTCGGAAAAGCCATTTATGACTGAAGAAAACAACAGAATTAACAATTGAATTGTCATGCCCCACTAAATAATACAGTCCTACTAACGCGAGAGTCACGATGTGCATCGACCAACTAAGTTGCTATGAATTTGTTGCAGGTGGAAGATGCGGCAGAGCATTTCAATGCCATCATGAGCCGTGTGTCTCAGGACGAGATTTGGCTTTTCGACTATTCTATTCAATTGGTAGTAGCTGCATTGTTTGTACCACTCACATCCCTCACTTGGAACCATCGAAGTGGTATTCCTAAAGCTCTTCGTCTCAGTTCCACGGCCGTGACTCAGTTCTCTGATCTTCTTGAAGAATACATCAGGTTCAACGAAAAATTTTACCAGCGAGTGGCCGAAATCAGAACGATGCTTCTATACAAGAAAGAAGACGAGCTTCTGTTGACTGATGATGAATTCATTAAAGACTTCTTGAAGCAAATAAACGCGATGATCACTCACGTTAGAAATATCGCTGGAGAGGTCGAGAATGATCTGCACGCGTTGTATGCTAAAATTATCAATGACGATGCAACGCAGAGATCTAAAGCATCGTGGAGTGCATACGTGCAAAAAGTCGATGACATGTTCCTGGCAGGACAGAAAGAAATGCTCAAAAACACCATGATTTACCTGGAAAAGATGCTAGTTCCATCCGAAAGCTTTGGTCGACCTGACGCGCCGTTATTTAACCTCAGAATTAAGCTTATCAAAGGCAAGATCACAACATGTCCGTTGATTGACAATCTTTGGCAAACCATCACACATGTGAGCGAGATTTTGCTTCAAGAATTCGAAAAGCTTCCTTGTCTCATTCGACGCTTCGACTTGTCGAAGGCCAAAGAACATAAGCATCAAGAAATACTTAAGGATGAATCTATCGCATGCATTCAGCTAAAAATAAATGAGCATTATTCTCATACACTCGATCGGTTGCGCGTAGAATTAGCACGGTGGCAAGTCTTCGTATCTCCTCAAGTGGACGGAAACGATAACAATGTGGTTATACCCAAACTTGATAAAACTGACCTTGAAGTTCATTGTGATTCTTTGGCAAACAATCTTAAAATGATTGAAAATGAGGAGCCTCGAATAATTGTTGGAGCGTTCAATGCTGATTGTAGGGATCTTCAGAGCCAACTGGGACAGTTTTGTTTTGATAATATGAGGACTCGTTTAGCAGCCCAGTGTTCTCTCGTGCAAAATGAACTAGAACTGTTGAACAAGAATCTGTTGGCACTGACAGAACCTTCGGGCAGTCCTGAGACGATTAATGATTACTTGAAAGCGCAACAAAATAACAGTGAAAAACTGAGGCAAGTTGACCTATGTTTGGTAACTCTCAACATGATCGATGAAAATGTAGAGTTTTTACGGCGATTTGACCATGAGGTGCCAAAGGAAACCTTATTGCTGAAAACTGTTGTAAGGGACGCAATTCAGGCGACCAAGTCTTCCATCACCGAGGATGATTTCAAACTCAAAGTTCAACTAAGCGAGTACAAGAAACAACTTTCAGTGAAAGCCGAGGAATTGAAATTCAAATTTGATGGTGTGGAGGAAACACTAAAACAAGAGTTCCCTCGAACCATGCAGAAGGATCACAAGAAAGCGTTAGAGACGATAGAAGATCTGTCGAATCTCGTCCGGGAAGTAGAGGAAGACTTGTCTATAAATGTTACCCTAAGGGACTTGTCGCTTCCGGAAATAAAGTTTGACTCCGTCCGACTGTACTCGAAGAAACTCGCCGCTGCCCGAAGAATCACCGATCTCTCAGATTCATGGAGAAGAGAATGGAAAAAATGGCAACATTTTACTTTGAAGGAAATTAGCATAATTTCGTTTCAGTCATTGCTCTCAAATTTTCACGAAGAGTTTCGTTCCATTCAAAAAAACTTAGAACAGCCTGACTCTGATTGGGAAGTTCTTTTAGAACTGCAAGCCGAAATTTTGTCCGTAAAGGAGTTAATGCCAGTTCTGAAAATTCTACAAGAAGCTCCGTTATTTGACCATCACTGGGATGCAATAGTGAGGCTCTCTTGTAAAAATAATATCAGTAAGTACAAAAACGTTACCATTAAAAATCTACATGAAATGGACTGTGGGTCCATCATGCACGAAATCAACCTGATTGTTCATGAAGCCAGCGGAGAAAAATGCTTTCTAGAAAAACTTCTCACTATCAAAGCTGAAGCTTTGACTGTATCCAATGTCTTTATGGATGTGCACGGCGCACCAACTACTAATCTGCAATCTATTAGCGCTACTCGTGTGACAGTGACCGACCTGCATCTGAACTTGACGGTGGTTTCCTCATCGAAATATCGTATAAGATACGAAGCTGAACTAAACGAATTAAATAAGCTCTTGAGATTGATGTTAAATTTCTTGGCAAAGCTATCCGAAATCCTGAAATTCGTCGACCGATGGACTCCTTTTTTTCATGTCAACAATGTACGTTTTGTGCTCCCGCACGCATCATGTGTTTTTGACGACTGCAATGATAAATGGAATAAAGTCGCACAAACATTGGCACAAGAAGATTTCCTGCACAAACTTGTAGAATATCCAGATGTATTTAAAATTTTTGACAATCTTATCAACGCTTACTCTCAGCTTAGTGGCATGGCGCTTGGATACGCCCAAAACACGAGGGAGCTTTCACCTCGTTTCAATTTTTTGGATGACTCTGAAATCATTGCCATGATGTCACAAGTCAATGGTGTGGCAAATGTGAGACCTTACCTACACAAACTCTTTGGAAGCGTGAGCCAAATTAAATCCCAGCGGAATTCAATTACCGGGAATCAAGAAGCTACAGCAGTTATGTCGAGTGAAGGGGAGACGCTAACACTGACGGCACCGATTCCCATTGTTGGTTCATCACCTTTTTGGTTAGAGCAGCTTGGCTCGAATATTACGAATAGCCTCAAAGAAAACTTGAAGCAGTGTAAGGCTAGTATGAAGGCGGCAGGCCCTAAGCTTGATGAAGTCCTGAAGATTTTTCCTCAGCAGGTGTGTTTTTTAGCCATCCAACTGCTAGTGTCAGGAGATTTCACCAAAACCAAGTCCAAATCCCAATCGGGAGCAGATATTCTGGCAAACCAAGAAAAGTTGCTAAGAGACGTTTGTGCCCGCTTCAACCGTCTTCTAAATAGCAGTACTCAGAAAACTCAACGCGAAAATGTGAGACTATTCTTCATAGTAATTTTGTTTCTGAGAGACCAACTGCATCGAGTGCGGGAAAATAGAAATAAATCGGGGGGCACAGGGATGCCCACAATATTGTACCATGTCAACAAAGATTCGGGCCAGCTGATGGTGAATTTTGGTCCTTGGACTTTGCCCTATTGTTGGCAGTATCAAGGTATGAAACAAATGCCAGTGCTGACACAACAAATGACGGAAAACCTTCTGAACTGTGCTCGCAGTCTCAGTAATAAGCAAATCTTGGGAGTGGTAGGAGAAAAGCACCGCTGCAAAACTGAAACAATTAGATCGATGTCAGAACTTCTTGGTCACAGGCTCTTCGTTCTTGAATGTAATTCTCATTTCAGTGTTGAGTTCATGACGAAGACACTCATGGGCACGATGCAGACTCCAACACTCCTGCTTCTGTCGAATGTACAAGAAATCAAACCCCGTGTTTGCTTTTTATTGACGGAAATGCTTCAAAAGTTTACCCAGCTTCATTCCATGCGCATGAAGGAACATCATATCGGGGACCTTCAGTTTCAAGGAGTTCCTTTGGAAATTCTTGAGACGTCGGCGGTGGTCCTGGAATGTTGTCCATGTGGAGACCCAAAATGGATACGCTCAGTGTTGAAGGCGATTCCTCTGCCTGTGGCAACTGTGGCTGCTTCTGTTAACGTAAGTTGTAACTCTGCACTTGTAAGAAAATATAACAATCCTACGTAGCTCGTTTTCTTATGAAGGACATTTATACGTATAATGCGATCGTATTTTTCCTGTCACTAATTCTATTGCTAGAAACCTTATTTAAATATTATAAGAGTTTCTGTTTGTATGTAGGTTTTCATATCTAAGACAAAATTATTTTCGTGTGGTAAAAACAATTTTGCGCACAATGAAAAGAATTAGGGGGCAAACAGACCATTTTAGCGTTGACATCTTATATTCTCAGGGCGGTGTTTGAAAATTGCTTTGCACATTTAAAATTCGATTTCAGCTTTATATATTGATATAATTCGTTTATTCATTTAACAGGACGTCCTTGATGTGGAGCTCATTTCAAGAGGTTTTCGAGAAGGCAAAGTTCTAGCGAAAATGATAAGCGAACTTCTTAAAGTTGTCCAACTATCATTACCAGCCCTGCCCCAGTACCATTTCGGGTTGGTTTTTGCTCGGATGATAGTGGTGAAAGCCGCTGATTTCAGAAAATATAACACGGACTCAGTTGAAACAGAATGCATTCTCTACAGCTTCCACGAAGCAATGGAAGAACAATTGCTGGAGGTGCATTTTAAAACCTTTCTCAGGCTGTCCTCTTCAATGTTCCCTGAATTTAAGTATTCTAAACTCTCTGAAAACGAAATGGTGAAGGCAAAACTTGCGACCATTCTGAAAAAGGAAAATCTCATTTCCAACGAGCACTACTTTGAAAGATTGAACGTTCTTAGAAAAGCTATCGAAACCCGTTCTATAATTGGGATACATGGTCCCCGAGAGTCGGGTAAGACCACCGCACTCATGCTCCTCAGAACATATTTTGAAGCAAATCAAGAAGGGTTTAGGGGGGAACTATCCAAGATTGCGGTGAAAATCATTGATCCCCATTTGATCAGTGAAGAGGAGCTTCTCGGTATTGATGACTGTGATCCATTTTCAGTTCCTTTTTTCCAAGAGCTTATCGCTGACCCTGAAACTCATAAATGGATCATATTTCAAAGTTCTCTGCCCATGGAAGACCATGTAGTATCTTTCCTAGCTCGGGTATCTTTCGAGGATGCAAGAAGAGACATTTATTGTTTCGTTCCAAGAAAAACCAAATTGCCATCGAATGTAAAAATATTTCTAGAGTTGGACGACACATGTCCGAAAATTGCCGGGACAGACTTGAGTAAGTGTCACTGGGTATCATTTGATCACGATCTCAACATGGCGGCATCCCATGTTCTACAATGGCTTTCAACTCAGACCAAGTCAATTACCGAACCATTGAGTGACTTCATCAAGAGCGAGATCGTAGTTAGCTTCGAAAAGATAACCCAGGCCGAAAAAGATGCAATGCGACGTGCCAAAGTATTCACGTGCTTACTCGACGAATTCTTTCGTTCAAATCAGCTTGTAATGCATTCCACTTCCGAACGAAAAATCAAAGAATTATGCATTATAGCTTATAAATGGTCGATGGAAGGAGCTGAAATGAACTGTATCGAGGGTAAAAATGAAAAATACAAAATTTACGTACCTGATAAATTCAGAATGGAACTACTAGGAATTTGTCAAGAAATGAAAGTGGTTGTCACTACCAAACAGCTGGTCCTAGCATATGTAACTTGTATCCTCGTTAAGAATTCCATCTCAGTTACATTAGCTGGCGAAACAGGCTGTGGAAAGTCAACTTTAATGCACATTCTAAAAAAGTTATTTGAAAAAAACTTTTCCTGCTTGTCCCTGAAGTTCAGTTCAGAAACTTCACTGTCTGACATGAGAGCTCAACTAACCTCGCTGAGCGAAGATAAGCGCGATCAACTGCCTGTCATAATGTTCGCTGATAACATGAATTGTGCGCGGTCACACACTCACTTGACGCCTATCATGAATTTCTTAGCATCGTGCAGCAGCTCAACACAAAACTTTAACGATCGATCAGTTACTGGATTACGTTGTAATTCATTTATTACGGCGTTTCAAACTTCCTTGGAAGAAGAAAATTGGATCACGAGTTGCGCCAACGCATTTTTTTCCCAAGAAGTACACATGGACTCGAATGACTATGAGGAGCTAGAACAAATCATTGCTGAGCTCTTTGAACAAACCTATAAATTTGCTGACAACAGTGTAAAATCGCTGAAGCTTTCAGTAGCTAGCTGCTTGGTCGATTTTTTGAAAGAAATCGCCAAAGATTCAACACGGGGTTCTTCAAATTCCGTCATGGGTCTGAAGCGACTAGCGAGTCCCACGAGATACGTCCGATGCGTTTTTGATGGTCTTGCGTTGGCGAACCCATCAGAGTTAGATCGAGATGCTTTCCTTACTTTATTTGTGCATGAAATTCATCGAACTTTCTCAGATTCTCTAATGTACAGTGAAGAATCTGTGAGACTGTCACTGGAATCTAGTATTCGCCGTAACTTCCGGACAGAATTTACTTCCGGAAACAACCTCCATGACACGTTGTACTCTCCCCATTCTGGGTCTTACGTCAAGCTTAATCTGGAAGACTTGAAAAAAGCTATAGCACAGATGAATGATTCAAAAATAACATTCATCCTGCAGGATGAGTTTTGTGTTCACGTCGCACGAATTATGAGAGGTTTATGCTTGAATGGTGCAGCAATGAACTCGCTAACCTCAAAGAGACAAGTTGTAGATGGAAAATTCAATCGAAACCTTGACAGTGAGAATTTAGATTTTGAAGGTCCAACCATTCGAGAATCGTTATCTGTTTCTACTTTCACCTCAAAGTCTGATGGACTGACCTGCTCTCTCAATTCCGTGTTGCTCATCGGCCCATCAGGTGTCGGAAAACGGACTGCAGTACTTGCAGCTTCGCGTCTTCTTGAAGCAACTCTTGTGGACATGCAGGTGGATGGCAAAGACATGGAACGAATTGAACATGAAATTAACGTGAATCAAAATGCTACCAGACTCATTTTATACTTAGCCATGGAATTGGTGACCGAATCAAAAAAACTTGAATGGCTCAACGATATTGAGTCGCAATGCGTCCTAAGAGATTCAATCGTTGGTGTTGTCATTGGCTGTGTCAACTCTGAACAGATGATCCAGTCTCTTAATGCCTTACCAATTGTGTTCAGAAATATTACAGTTGATTCTGTGAGAAGCTGGACGAAAGTAGACTTGAGAATTTCTGCTGATCAAATTATTGAAAATTTCGCTGGTACCGGTAGCGTTACTGAAAACGATTTGATAAAGCTTGCAGCGGTGAATGTTCATTTGCGGTGCTCTGAACTGGCTCGTGAGGACGGATCACTTAATACAATTTCGTCGAGTCACTTTCTCCATTTTTTTCACCGGTCATTGCAATTGCGACAAGAAATTAGTGATGCGAAATTATCTCGAAATCAAGATTTGCGCAATCAAATCAAACAATTTTCTAACGCGAAAGAAAAAGTTGCAGAGCTAGCTACTCAACTTCAGGAACAACGTGCCCAAGTTACACACATGCAACAAGCGTATAGTAACATCACGCTCAAGCTTAAAAATATAAAAAGTGAACAAGGAAGACTCGAAGAAGAACTGCTCAAGAAGAAAGAAATGCTGGCTCGTCAGGAAGAAGAGTTCGCTAGAATTAAAGGAATAATTGAACACGACTTATCAGATCCCAGATCTGTTCTGAAAAGTTCTTGCAAAGCTCTGAATCGAATAACTGTGGAGGATTTCGAGAAAATCAGACAGTTGCTGCGGCCAGGATCAGAAGTTGAAAAGGTTTTTGAACTTGTCCTGACACTTGTCGGCCTAGAACCTTCGTGGAATGAGGCCAAAAAACAAATGCATAATCCTCTTGAATTCATTTCTCGAGTTTGTGGAACTTTACCTGCTGAAGTCAATGATTCAGCTTTGTTTATTTTGCAGGAGTATCTTTCCCAGAAAGAAACTTATTTCAGCGTCTTAAAAAATGACCATCCAACTGTTCTGATCTTTTTTGAATGGCTCATCAAATTTGAAAACTTTGCTCGGATATATCGAGACTGCCAATCTTTGCAACTGCAAGCAGATGCAATTGGCAAAGACGTTCAGGAGACTCAACAGTATATGAGAAGTCACGAACATGATTTAACCACCGTGAAGATGCAGCAGCAAGTTCTTTTCAGTCAGTTGCAAGAACGAGAGAACCAACTTGAGAGGGCCGAAGGTTCAATGAAGACTCTAGAGTCTCGGATGCAAGCGTCCAAAAGAGTAATGAATGAACTAGCACTACTAAAAGACGAGTGGGAAAATGAGATCGCTATCACCGATGCCAATGTCCAAAGTGCAAGTGGTGAAGGGGTTATTCGAGCCGCTCAAGAGACTTACTTTGGTAATTATGCGTATGAAAACCGAAGAAGAGCCGAAAATGATGTTGTGCAAATTATTACAGAGAGCGGTTTAGTACTCGATCAAGATTCAAGATTGGAAGGTGCAATGAAAAAAGAGGTAATTTCGTGGATGGTTGACGGTGTGCCATGCGATCGATTAACCGTTGAGAATATCTCGATATTGTTATCATCAGACCACTTTCTCGATGTTGTCTTTGACCCTAATAGAATCATTTTTAATTGCATGACTGCACTACCATCTGCTTCCCAAGTGGAATCCTTGGATAAAACTTCAGTGGAGAAAATTTTGAGGGTTCAAAAATCTGGAAGTGTTTATTTTACAGCTCAAGAAACCCTGTATATTCCACCACACATATATAAAATTTTCAAAGAGCAACAATATACAGCAGATCCAATTACTTCTCCAAAAATTATCAATTCGAAAACTCATACAAACAAATTAATTATTTTTGTACCTAGAAAACCCTATAATATTGCAGAATTCGTTCGCGTTATCCACAACGGCAGTCAGGTAGAAGGGTTGAAGTTTTACATGAGCGTACGAATAAGCGAGGCCCTCACCCCCGATGTGGTGCAGAACTTTGTTAGGTACCAAGCAGAGCTTCTTAGAGAAAAAAATAAAATTGACGATCTAAATCGAGAAGCAAAAGAACTGATGAGCGATTTGGAGTCGTCACTTCTTAGAAATGATGAGAGTTTGATCGAGCTCGAGGAAGTTTGTGTTGCTTCTTTAAAATCCAGGAACAAGTGCAAAGAACTCGATGCTTCTATAAAATCTACACAAACAACAATTGAGAGCTGTGAGTCAACTTCCTTACCACTTTGTCACTTATTTCAACTATTAGAAAGGTTGCATCACTGGAGGCTGGACTTGTGTCTCACTTTGGACAAGTTTGTGGAACTTGCAGTATCAGGACTTCAACCTTTGGAAGTTGGTCAGGCCAACAAATGGGGAAAACTCCTCGACCAAAACGCCCTCTTCAACTCGCTCACAGCTGTTGGCCGGTGAGACTTTCATGTACTGTCAAGAAAGCAATATCTCAAGTCTATTGACTTGAGATATTGCTTCAATTGCTACGTTTGAACTAACCATTTAGAGTAAGAAAAGCTAAACGATTTCATTTTAAGCTTATGATAGTCTTTGATTATGAAATTGCACATGATATTAAAATCTCCGATCTTAGGAGATCTGCTGCATTTTCGGCTTCTTTCTTACACAAAACTTCATCAATAACTGATTCACTGAAAAGCTATATTTATCTTTCAACTGTTCCGTGTTAAAGAAACTTATTTTTTTTTTGGTTTGTTTGTTCCAGTTACCTTCAGGTTCAGGTATCAGGTCCTCATCGAGTGGCTCTATGCTTTGCTTTGGCGTTGTGGTACCAAGTCCATCTTGAATGCGTTAACCTATCACAAATAAAGGTCTTCTCAACCGAACGCACATCCAGTGGTGTTATCTCTCCACTATTGTGGCTTGGCGACGAAAAATGGTCCAAAATCTTGCATCTTGAAAAACTAACTGAATTTAAAAGCTTGGCAGCTAATATCCACACAAATCCAAGCGCTTGGTTTCATTGGTATACGTCAGATTACGCCGAAACTCGTCCTATGCCTGATCCGTTCGATAAGAAACTCGTCGCTTTCTCTAAGTTACTGGTGCTGGCGAAGCTTAGACCCGATCGCCTTTTAGAAGCTGCGGAAAATTTTTCATTTAAAATTTTCAAAGCTAATAGCAGCGTTACCACAGATACCATCCAAAGAGCCGTTCTCAATTGCCAGAAATCGACAGCAATCTATCTTTCTTTACCTAACGACCTCGAGCTGAGGAGTTACTTCCGGCAACTCTTCACACTTTGCTACCCACTAGCTGAGCTGACAAATTCATCAATCCTGATTCATCATCTTGCTGCAGAGCGCTTGAGGTTGATAACAGATAACATTCGTAGTGCCTCTTGTAAAGGACAATGGGTAATTTTGTGGTGCGAAAGATATTCTGATCTCGAAATAGAACAGATTCTGAGTATTCTCGGAGAGGCAGAGATCTCCAGAAGCCATAAGAGGTTCCAAACTTGGTTTGCATCATCGGACCATGATATTGCTCGAGGAGAAGTTCTTTCGAAACTACTCCGATTTAGTATCTCGAAAGCAGAATCTATCAGAGGCTGTGTAGTAGAGCACTTCTCCTTACTGGGAGATGGGAAGCTTGCGATGTACACAACTGATGAATCCAAGTGGTACTTACTCGCTCAGACTTTGTGTCACTTGTCGATGAAGGCTCGTCAAGAATTTGAAGAAGAAAACTTTCTACAAAACATAGCTGATGCGCACTGGTGGGAAGCTGAAGCTATTGTTAGGTCATTAGTTACTACTGAAAATATGGTTCTTCCTTCCTCATTGATTGAAAAACTCGAGCAGGTGTACGCTCCGACAGTAGTAACGCCAATGATGAAAATCGTCATTCAGCGTTTGTTAGAAACTTTTTTTGTGGATGCGAGTCGTATTCCTGAAAGGATTCCGTCGTTCACTCACTATTCTGTGCCTACAGGGTTTACTTTGGACTTCCACAAGTCGAATCTCGAATTCATCTACAAAGCTACGACTGACGTCCTCAGCTTTTGTTCGGCCAAAGCAATCAACGAAGTCCAGAATCAAGAAGCGGAAATTTTGCTGAACACTGTACAAGATCTTTTCGGCATTATTAGCTCTGACACTTGTAAACATGATGAATTTCGGCGTGACATTGTGAACATCATAACAACTTTAGATAAACAGCGCCTCAGCGCAACGAATCCAATGTTTGATGTTCTGCTACAAGAATTAACTAATTACAAGCGGAGAGCCCGAATTATATTGCAGGCCCTAGAATTGAGGTCTTCTACCAAAGATATTTTGAAATTAATAAATGAATTACTGCACAGATCTTCATCGGAACGAGACAAAATGAAAGGAAACTTGAATAACATCTTATACAAGCGACTGAATCAATTCAAGGAAAGTGGTCACTACCTCGATGGCTTAGCACTAACCAGAGTCCCGTTGACGAGGCTAGACCTACGTCATTTCTCCAATCCACTCCCCGCCTTTTCGAGACTTATTCAAAACGTCTATCCGGACCTTCTGGCGCGCGAAAAAGACGCCCATTTTATCATGGACTTGATATACGTGCCCCAAGAATTTCGTACAGATGATGTAACGCCACCAAATTGCATTGCTCTCGACAACATGTGCATTCTGAACGCAACTTTGGATGTTCAAGAAGAAGTTTTAACATTTCCAGATAAAGCGTCCGTGCTGAAAAGCAGTGAAGTAACCAGTCTGTTCGTCGCTCCGCGGATTTCCGAAGTTGGTATCAATATCAATACAAAGTCAGATTCTTGGTGTGAAATTCCGGTTTACTTGACAGACAGCCTCGCATCTGATCCGGCGCTATACCTCTTGATGCCCTCATCTATATCGACAAAATTATTGACACTACACAGAGTCCGCGTCTGCATACGATGAATCTCACACGCAAAAAGTGCGGGACCGTGCGGCGCACATGAATTTCAGAGGTGGGCAGTAGTGCGCTGCATGTAGCGGTAGCGGTAGCGGCGCTATATTTAAGCAATTGTAGCGGTAGCGGTAGCGCCCGCTACATATTTAAGTAGAGAAACGAGGTTTTACCGCTACAGCGCTACCGCTACATTTATAGATAAAGCCTTTAGATTTTACTTAATAATATTAAATATTATTTAAAAACCAGCATGATACATACATAATATAAATTACAGAATAAAACTGTACGAAAGATTTCGGTGTAATGTTGTCAACCCCAGCCTGTTACTAGTGTCAACATGTTAGTTGTTACTTGTTAAGTTGTTACCAGTTACCACTTACAGGTATTTTTTCATGCATCAATTTGCTTACAGTTATTTTTATGTTTCACCTTCCCTACATGGATGTCTACTTTAATCTACCAATCTCAAAAATAATCCACAAATTTATACAAATAAGACTGATTTTTTATATGTATATGTGGATAATTTTTGAGATTGGTAGATTAAAGTAGACATCTATGTAGGGAAAGTAAAACATAAAAATAACTGTAACTTTTATTTACTGTATCTAACCCGTACTAGTTCGGTTAGGTTAATTGCAATAAAGTTGCATTGATATGTTTCGAAAATGTTTTATTATTATTAGATGTTTATAAGTAAATCTCAATAGCAGAACTATAAATATTTAGAGATTTCCAACAATTTTGGCCATTGTAGCGATTAATGTAGCGGTGCTACATTTTACTGTAGCGGTAGCGGCAGCGCTCGCTACAATCTAGTGGGTGTGGCGGTAGCGGTAGCGCCCGCTACATTTAGAGCATGTAGCGGTAGCGCCGCTACATTTCAAAGTAGCGCTGCCCAGCTCTGTCAATATTATTCATTAATCTCTCATCAATAATCATGTGTATGGTCGAATAGTGTTTCATCAAAGATCATGCGTTAAATAAAAGCTTTTGCTAATAGACTAGAGAATAGCTTTTCAATATTCCTTATAACATATGTCCTATTGAGAAAATGATCTTTTTTATTGTGTACAGAGAAAAAAATTGTTACTGCATTGAACGTCGTTATGGCCTGGTCTGGAAATATTCGTATAATGTATAACCAAATAATAAAACATATAAAATGCTTTAACTTTCAATATGTTCCTTTCTTCGTAAACGCGCTACGTTACGCACTAATCAAAATTTACTTTTTTAAGCGCCGAAGACTCACATTTGCTTTTTACAACACTTCTCTTCAACTTCATTTCTTGTTGTTTGTCTGTCTGTCTGTCTGTCTGCTGCAAATCTTATAATCGATATTTAACACACTTCTACCTGTCCAATCGATCTGAAATTTGTCACACTTGCGTAAAGTTGGAGACAATGCATGAATCAATTGACAGTATAAATAATTTTATAAATTAAAAACAAATTTTTCAGTATTAAAATAAATTTAAAAATAATTTCGTCTGCTACAAATCTTATAATCCATATATGACACAAGTTGACCTTTCCAATCGATCGGAAATTTTGCACAATTGCATATAGTCAGAGACAATGCATGAATCAGTTGACAGAATAAATAATTTTGAAAATTTACAAAATACAAAATTTACATTTTGATAGCTTAAAATTTTTTGATAAATAATTTTTTTTTAATATTTGAAAATAAAATTAGAAATTCATCGTACATGTGTAACATCCAAGACACTGAATTCTTCAGAAGTGTTGTCGTTAACTAAAAAGTAATTTTTAAACGCAAATTATTATTTACGCTCCAAAGTCACGGCAGTAGCATGCCGTGTTTCAATATTGAGGATGTAGTGGAACTAGTCATCTCCACAAAATGATTGTCAATTACATATGAACTTGACTCTCAGAAAAACTGAAAATTAAATGTGCTCGATAATGAACCAAAATAACCCATGTGTTGGTAGAGGCTGAGAACATTTCGCTATGCAACAATAAAGGTATCGGCGTTATACTGTGAGTCGCTAAATATTCTACCAAGCCTAATTGTACCTTTCTTTTCACAACTTACTGCCGCACTGGCTGGTGGAGGTGCTAGAAAGTAAAGAGATCTAGAAGTGAAGAGAAGTGTCCAAAGCCCCAGTTGTGCTCAGGCTGGGAGGTGTGCTACCGGCATACCCGAAGCCTTCAAATCAATTGTAAAAAAAACTGCGAATCGCAACACAGCTGAACCATCATTCTTCTATGTCGCGGACAAATTTACGGCCGGTCTCCCCGAAATTCAGTGAGCAAGTAAAATCTCCCAAAGTAATGAACGCAGCTCGACGAAACTCGGTATACGTATTCATTATGACCTAACGATGATGTTTAGCTCGTGAACATGTTTGCAATTTCCCCTTAATTCGTGAAGATAGTGCCGAAATTTGCGGTGAGCAGTACAATACTTCTAAACTAAGCTTACTGTACAGATTTGAACGAAAGTTTGAATATAGAAACCTAACCTCCCAACGGTGATTTTTAGCTCGTAACAATTTTTGAGACCTTGCCTTCGTTTGCGAGTTTTTTTTTCACTTTACCTCATCCGCGATTGAAACAGCAATACTTGCTTAAATTCGCAGTTAGCACAAAATTTCTTCTAAAATACTGAACAGACTTTAACGAACATATTTTTAATATTTTAGTTGAGTTCTGGCAGTGATCGAGGACGCACATAGTGTTTGCGGGTCCCAACTTTCTCACTTTTTACTATGCCGGTTTGACTTATCTCTAGAATTTTGTACCGAAACGATTTCAGTTAAAGGTTTAATTTTAGTGCAGTTCAATCAAAATTGTGCGAATAGTGAGAAAAAC